CAGCTAACTTCAAGCCCAATCCAAGTAAGCCTTCCCAGTCTATTTTTCTTTCTTCTATAAATCAACCCATTTTGTTCAAAGTCCAGCCTAGGTCCACCTGTTGACTTGTTGACCGTTGACTCGTTGATAGTTGACCACCAAAAAAAAAAAAAAAAAAAGTATGTCTCACTCCTCTCCCAACCTTGATACCATTGTTCGTCCTATTGATAACATTTTAGATGGCTCAAATTATAATATGTGGGCTCAAAATATGGAAGTATTTCTTAGAGGACGAAAATTGTGGCGTTATGTTTCTGGTGATATTCTTGCCCCTAAGCAACAAGATGGTGAGAGTCTTGATAAGTTTGCATGTCGGCTTGAAGACTGGCGTAGTATTCATTATAAAATATTGTCTTGGTTTATCAATACTTCTGTTCCATCCATCCATAGCCTACTTCCCAAGCTTGGTAATGCTCAAGCTGCTTGGGATTTTCTTACTAAACAATACAACTGCACTCATGATGCTTCGTTGCAGTTCCAGCTTGAGACTAAGCTTTATCAGATGCGTCAGGAATCAAGTCAGTCCATTGCTAATTTCTATTCTCAAGTTGATAATCTTTGGGAACAGTTGTCTGCTGCATTTCCTCACCTCAGATGTTCTGATGACATTGCGTTGTTTGCAACCTACCATGATCATCGTAAGTTTATGCATTTTATTGTGGCACTTTGTGAGGATTTTGAATCTACCTGGGCTCTCTTTTGCATCGTCTTTCCACTCTTGAGACTACAGTTGCTGAACTTCTTTCCGAAGAAAATCGTCCTTCAACCATGAAGATGCAAACTCCAGATTCAATTGTTACTACCATCCCTCAGACTACCTTTGGATCTTCTCTAGCCTCAGGCCATTTCCCTTCTCAGTCCTCAAAGATTGTCTTCTGCAAATACTGCAAACGTCCAGGTCACTCTATTATGGAATGTCAAAAATTGTAGAACAAAAATCAGTATCAAGCCCTCTTGTTGCAAGCTGTTGCCGTGGCTCCAACTACTCTTGAGTCTGCTGCGGAGCCTTCTTCAGTGTCCACTACTCTCACTGCTACTAACATTGAGGCATTAATTCATCAGGTTTTATCCTGGTCTTCTAGTGTTGTGTTTGTCACCTTAGGTACATCTCTTTGGTTTTTTTTTATTCTACATGTAATCACATGACCTCTGGTTCCACCATTTTTCACAAAAATCTACTTTGTCACCCAATCATATCATATATACTGCTGATGGTTCTCATTTATCTGTTAGTCAAATTGGGTCTACTTCCTCCCCTACCTTATCTATTGACAACATCTATCTTGTTCACAAGTTATCCTTAAATCTCCTTTCAGTTGGTCAACTTTGTGAATTAGGTCTTCAGCTTACCTTTTCTAATGCTGGTGTTGATGTCCAGGATCCACAAATGGGTTAACTCATTATGATAGGCCGTAAGATTGGACGTCTATTTGAGCTCGCTTTTTTGCAGCTTCTATCCCATCTGTCTTGCTCCATTGTTGCTCTTGCCATCTCTTCCTAATTATGGAATTTTTGACGGGGTTATGCTTCTATACCTCATGTTCATCTTTTGGCCTCCCAAGGACACCTAGGCTCTATAGGTTTTGATTCTTTTGATTGTGTTTCCTATCAACTTGGCAAGCAAACTCATTTATCTTTTAATATAAGTGAATTTTTTTGGATTGCACCTTTTGATTAGATTCACTTTGATATTTGGGGCCCTACCCCCACTCTTATTGAGGGGGGATCTCGTTATTTTGTTATCTTCGTTGATGACTATTCTTGTTATACATAGCTATACTTGTTAGAGCATCGATCTGAGCTTGTTCATGTTTACCAAACTTTTCACAAAATGGTACAAACTCAATTTTCTCATACCATTAAAGTTTTTCGTTCAGATAATGCCATGGAATAATGACAAAACTCTCCATGAGTTCCTAAATCAACAAGGCACATTGTCACATCGTTCTTGTCCCTATACATCTCAACAAAATGGTCGTACAAAACGAAAACATCGTCATATCCTTGATACTGTAAGAGCTCTTTTACTTTCTGCTTCTTTAGCTGAAAAGTTTTGGAGTGAAGCTGCTCTTACGACTATGTACACAATCAATAGGGTACCCTCACCTATACTTCACAACAAATCTCCTAATGAGCTTCTTTATGGTATGGTTCCTAACTATTCCTTACTTCGTGTCTTTGGTTGTGGTTGTTTTATTACTCTTCCTACTCATGAACTAACCAAACTTGAACCCCGTTCTCGGTTATGCTATTTTCTTGGTTATGGCTTAACTCAAAAAGGTTATCGTTGTTATGATCCTATCTCCAAATGTCTTTGAGTATCTCGTCATGTAGAGTTTTGGGAACATAAACCATTTACTAGCATATCCATGTTCTCCCTTTCCTCCTCTAACCACTCACTCATATTCACTGATCCCTCTATTGCTCTATTATTTGACTCTTCTGCAGAGATTCCGAGCTCTTCAGACAGTTCTTCCACTGTTGCACCCAATCTAGTTGATGCGTTTGATGGACCACCTGCCACACCACCCACTCCTCTGTCTTCTCCCCTCCATGAATCTTGTCATTCCAGTTGGGTAAGTGTTCCTCCTACTCATCTTCGTGATTATCATTGTTTCTCTGTCCTTGCCACCCTCCACGAACCTCACAATTATCGTGAGGCTCATATTGACCCTCTTTGGCAACAAGCTATGTCTGATGAATTGAATGCTCTTGTCAACATATATACTTGGGATCTGATGGACTTGCCTTATGGTAAAGCTGCAGTGGGATGCAAGTGGATTTATAAAATCAAGACTTGAGCAGATGGATCAGTTGAACTCTACAAGGCTTGACTTGTTTCTAAGAGGTTTACCCAGGATTATGAGATTGACTATGAGGAGACTTTTGCTCCTATTGCTAGACTTACCTCTATCAGATCTTTACTTGTAGTTGCTGCTGTCCGGCGTTGAGAATTTTTTCAAATGGATGTTAAAAACACCTTCCTTAACAGTGATCTTACTAAAAAAGTTTACATGCAACCTCCACCTGGCTATGAGCATCCTCCATATAAAGTTTGCCATCTTTGTCATGCACTTTATAGGCTCAAACAAGCTCCTCGAGCTTGGTCTGAGAAATTTCAGTCAGTAGTTTCTCAACAAGGCTTTCTTTCTAGCCCATATGATTCTGCACTCTTTCTTCGCACTACTGGGACAGGTACTATCTTTCTTCTTCTCTATGTAGATGATATGATTATTATTGGTGATGATATTGCTAGAATTCGAGATCTTTAAGCTTTTCTTAGTCAGAATCTTGAGATGAAGGATTTGGGACATCTTAACTACTTCTCTGGCCTTGAAGCTACTTCAAATTAGGACGGATATTATCTCACTCAAGCGAAATATGCCTCTGATTTACTTTCCAAAGCTGGGTTGACAATAGCAAGATAGCCACTAGTCCACTTGAGTATAATACTAAGCTTCTAGCCACTGACGGTTCTCCACTTGCAGATGCAACTCTTTATTGACAGTTAGTTGACAGTCTCATTTATCTTACTATAACTAGGCCTGACAGTTCATATGTTTTTCATCTGGTCAGTCAGTTTATGAATGCACCTTGATCTACCCATTTTGCTACGGTTCTTTGAATTCTACGCTACATCAAGGGTACTCTGTTTCATGGTCTACGCTTCTCATCCTACTCCTCTCTGGAGCTACAAGCCTATTCTGATGCAGATTGGGCTGGTGATCCTATTGATCATTGCTCCACCACTGGTTATTTTTTCTTACTTGGCATGGCGTAGTAAGAAACAATTTGTTGTTGCCCGTTCTAGCATTGAGGCTGAGTATCGCGCTCTTGCTGATACGACATCTGAACTTTTGTGGTTACACTGGCTTCTAAAAGATATAGGTGTTCCTAAATCAATATGTTCTCCTCTTCACTGTGATAATCGTAGTGCCATCCAGATTGCACATAATGATGTGTTTCATGAACGTACTAAACATATTGAGATTGATTGTCACTTCATCTACCATCATCTTTAGCAAGGTGTCCTCTAGTTACATTCAGTTTCTTCTGAAGATAATCTTACTAATATTTTTACAAAATCCCATCCACCTAGTCAACTTGGTAATCTTGTTTCCAAACTCCAGTTGACTTCACCACCAAGAGTTTGAGGGGGGATGTTAGTATATATATTAGTATCTTATAATATCCCTAGAATATATGATTATTCATGTAATTAAATGTTAGTATATATATTAGTATCTTATAATATCCTTAGATTATATAATTTTTCTTGTAATTAAGCTATAATTTCCTGTAATTATGCTAGGTTAGAATCTTTCCATATAGTGTATTTTCTTATTAACTTTGGCCTTCTCCACTATATATAGAGGTCTTCTTTGTATAGTTTAGACACACATAAATTACAATTAGTTTTTGATGGATTTTTCTTGTCTATTGACATCGTCCAATGATGTGGTGGGAGTGTCACATCGAGTTTGTGATGGAAAGTTTGTGAGATTCGTTAATCAACGTAATATTATCCTAAAATTAAACAAGGTTTTTTTTTTTCTTAAGCGGGTTGGTGTATATCATGTTCTCCCAAAATTCATTTTCACAGCCCCTTTTTTTAATGAAAATATATATTACTAAATTGTCTTAAATGAAATAAACTAAAAGAATAAAATAAATGAATAAAAAAATATTATATTACTAAATTAGCATGTTAAAGCTAAGACATGTTTTAGCCTTCAGAAATGATGTAATTCTTCTTATTGGATAAAATTATAACTTTTCTCTGACTTTTCATTCTTAGATAATTTATACGAAAAGATTTCATGCATGGATCATGATGTTAGCCAGGGGAACTTAAAAATAGTGTTTGCATATAACTATATTTAACCAAAAAAAAAAAAAAGTTAGTCAAAGCAAAGCACATATATATGCTAGCTTAAAGATACAAAATCAATCTTCAGGCATCATCGAGGGCTAAGCTCAGTAATTGAAGCCTCGTTCAACGAAAACTGGAAATTATTTGATTGATCCAATGCCGATGATTCTAAATTATCTGTCGTTGTGCTGGAGTGCATAAAAAATGCAGGTTTTGATGGTGTTGGCAAGGAAAGGGTGCCACTAGTGAGCATGTGAACCACTAAAGCCATTGTAGGTCTATTGGCTACATTTTCTTGAACACAAAGCAACCCAATGTGAATACATCTCATCATATCTCTATTGGAGCCAGCACTCAAGTTGGGGTCTATTAGATTCGCAGCTTTACCTTCAATCCAATTTCTCCATGCCTACAAATTTTGACAAAGACAACGTGGTCAATGACCACATTAATACTTATCACTTGATCCAAAAATTAAAACCATTATCAAGTGTACAACAATAATATTTAAGTCTAACATATTACTCAGAGGGTCGGAAAACTTGAAAAATATTCCTATTGAATTTTACTTACGTAGGTTAATAAATCTTCTGGTTCCTCTTCGGTAGGAAACGAACTATTCTTTTGACCACTCATGATTTCTAGGACTAACACACCGAAGCTGAAAACATCGGACTTGGCTGAGAAGTGTCCATACTTTATATACTCTGGAGCCATATACCCACTAAAAATTGGACTCAATCAAATTTTATTTTGTAACAAAACCAACATATCATGCTTTGATCATAAGCATATATTATTATTAATTATGTTTTTGCATATAGAATAAACTTGACGATTCTTGAGTTGTTTATGTTAATCTCATAAATACTTACAAAGTCCCAGCAATTCTACTTGTATCGCCTTGAGTTTGATCTATTGCCAACAACTTTGCCATTCCAAAATCTGAAACTTTTGGAGTCATGTCAATATCTAAAAGAACATTGCTGGCTTTTAAGTCACGATGAATGATACGAAACCTAGAATCTTCATGAATATAAAGAATTCCTCGTGCTGTGCCCTTTATGATTTTGTATCGCATCTCCCAATCCAATAATAAACGTTGGGTTGGATCTGCAAACTCATCAATGCCATATAAGTAAATTACATTAAATGGAATAAATACTCTTTTCTTACAAAGAAAGCCAAAAGTAGTGGAATTAACCATACCATATATGAAGTTATCTAGACTTGAATTTGGCACAAACTCATAGATGAGAAGCTTTTCGTTTCCTTCCAAACAAAATCCTAGAAGTCTAACCAAATTCCTATGTTGAAGTTTGGCCATCAAGAGGACCTCATTTTTGAATTCTGTTTCTCCTTGTGCAGAACCTATATCCAACCTCTTGACGGCTACTTCCTGTCCATCAAGAAGCCTACCCTGAAAAGAAATTTTATAATTTAACTCATTTTTATTAACAACTGATATTTATTAATTTTGGTTAGTGATTAATTACTTACCTTATAAACAACACCAAATCCACCACGTCCAAGCTTATTATCAATTGAAAAATTATTTGTTGCAACTCTGATAGTGCTGAAGTCAAATTGCAAGGATTCCACATTATCATCGTCTTAAAAACAACAATAACACAGTTGAGTTAATCAGTTGTTGCTCTTATATAACCTCACTACTACTACAAAACTACATTTAGAGGATGCTTAAAAAGAGTCTTTTAATTCAAAATATTCTCAATATATAACCTCTTTTAGATGGTTTAATAAAAAGGGTTACACTACATCAACTTATAATTTTGACACAGTTTTTTAGCAATTGATTCATTACAATCCAAACGGCTAGGAGTTGATGAGGTGGTAAACAAAATAACTACCTTCAGTTTCCTTCTCATATCCATATCTATTACCAATGTATTCCAATTTAAGAAAAATTTTATGTTACTCTAACCTAACCCAATAAAAATTAAAAAAATCTTTCCTACAAATGGAGTGCCATGTCATTATAAGCAAGATACGCTCACCTCATGATTGGAGTCCGATGTAAAGAAGATTTTCTCATAAAAAATATGTCTTCTATTTTCTAATGACGATTGCTTTTGAAATTACTTTTATACTAATATTTTGTAGAGTTAGTGTATTTAATAGAGTAATACCATACATACAAAGTCTTTTTAGAAAGGAATAATACTATATGTGAAAACTCTTCATACAAATTTACCCATACATACTAATGTGTTTTAATGTAATTGAATGATTTAAAATTATTGATGATTTAAACAGATTAGGTTATATGATGTGTTAAACACATGGGTCTGTCACATTAGTTTATAAGTTATAATTTGTATAATTAGTTTGTACATGTAACATTACTCTTCATAAAGAAATAAATACAGAGTGATGTGGCATTACTATTTAACTTACATATCAATTAATGAGTTGATTATTTATATTCATTGTATCACTTACATTTTTTCATATCACTTTTCATATACATCTTTGTATGAAGATTTTATAAGCATATTATTGTTCCATGTAATGTTAAAAATTAAGAGTGATTTTCAAAAAAGATATAAATTTTAAGATATTTCATAAAAGACCCTTTTCCATTAAGGTTAATAGTCTTCTTTGTAAAGTATTTGTTAAAACTAAATTTAGAAACTACAAGCTTAACTAATTAGAAAGTCTTTGATGTGCGTATCATCTATGCACTTAACCAATCATAAACACAACATAGAAAAAATCTAGAATTCCATTGAGGTACCACATCATTCATATTATCATTTAGTGAATTTGTGTCACCTCTGAGTATTTTCTCTCATCTATCTTTAGATTGATTAATTGTGATTTGTAGTTATTAAATGCAATAACCAGTTAGCATGTATGCATTAATTTATGTTACCACATCAACAATACCACTATAATATCGCACTCGTTCATGCATGATTAGCTGGATGTAAATAGAATGTACATACTATAGAGACTTTCTTGTAATGTATTGACCTTCTACTGCTCGCTTACCTCCCATCATTCGCTTTTTCTTTCTTGTTCTCCTGCAAAGAAAAGTGAAGGCAACAAGTGCTACGAAGATAACCGTAGAAACAACGATGATAAAAAAGGTCTTAGATGTAATGCCTCCTTTCTCTGCATACATAAGCACAAAAATAAATAAAATAAAATAAAAAAGTGTTCATGGTCAACACATGATGATGCTAAGGAAATCAACTACGGAATATCATGAAAAGATACCCATCCATCTTTCATGCCATATGTACTTTTAAAAAAAGAAAAAAAAAAAAAATACAAACTTCAATATTAGTTGAGACTATAACTGATTTAATGACATCATCTAATACAAAATACAAAAACTCACCAAGATATTTTTTGAACTAATATAATATTGAGTTCTCACCTATTAATTTAAACTTTTACCTAGGATGACGACTTAACATAACATCGGAGGCGAAGATCTAAAGTCTCCTATTCAATTGGATAAAGAAAAACGAAAAGAATTCAAGTTTCATTGACGGCTCCTAGGTGATATGCTTATACGTAAATCTGACCCTATCATTTAAAATATACATTTATTAATTTTATATATATATACCTTTTGTGATCATTTCCTTATGCGTGAACTGTGGAGAAGGAGGAGATGGGGATGGAGCAGCAGGAGAGGCTACATAGAATGGACTCGAATCCCATTTATAAACACAGCTAGGTCTCACAGTAAGGCAACCGGCTTTGCCATGGTAGTGGGTCTCACAGAAAACCACAGATTGACGGAGACAAGAATCACAATCACTTTCTGAAATATCAGGAGTACACTGCATAAGTGCATAAATCTTCACAAAGTCAGTCAAACTCGCTTCTCCAGTTGCGAACTTTTTTCTAGAATTATTAGAGCCAGTAGAAGCTTTTTTCAACAACCGATTCATCAAACTCTCCCAAGTCTGATCAAACTGTGTCATGTTCATTGTCATATCAGTCTCAGAGCCGCCTCCAGCCATGGGATCCGCCTCCATTTTTCCAAAAATCGAACGGTCTGAATAGCGTACAATGCATTGAGGACCATCCCCCCATGCAACTGCTTCTTTCTGGTTCAAACATTGCCTCATGATATCTTCGGCCGCAAAACTGACACCACTGACACACTTCTCTGCAGAAAGATCTCCTCTACAAAGAGCAAGAGCATAAACTTTGTCAGGCTCTTGGCCGACACTTGCAGTGTAAAAAAACCCATCATGTAGAGTGACATTAAGAGCAAGAGATGAGAGGATGAGGTTCCTGTTCTTCTCATAAGTGCTATTACTTGTGAAATTCCCTGACTCATCAATACATATAGTTACTCTGGTAACAAAAATATGATTTAAAAGCATACAAGAAACTAAACAAAGCAACCATGTAAAACCCATTTTAGGGTTATGCATGTTTTTAATAATTATAGTTTGATAAAGATGATGTAATAACATACAATATATACAGACAATAAGATGTACAATGGTCATATTCATCCATCAATTGTTACATTTTTTTTTTTTTTTTTTTTTTTGGGTAAAATTTAATATTGGAGCCAATGAGCATGGCTTTTGACTAATATTCCAGTAGGATTGGACACTTCTAATCTAATATATTTAATGGAGGTGATTGGCAATGCCATTATGCATATTTAAAGGCTTGGTAATTGCTAGGATATAACTTAATCGACATTTAATTATTGTGATGGGTTTTTTTTTATGTTGACATACTGTGTTTAATATTCATGAATCGGAAGAATTCTCCACCTAAACAAATTTAAATGAGATTATGTATTCATGAAATAAATAGAAATTGTAATCTATACAAAATCACATGTTGTGATTGGTGATATTTTCACCTACTAATTTTTGACATAAACTAAGGAAAAAAGAAGAGAAAAAGATGAAAGAGTGATTGATTGGGGCAGAGGGAGGAAAACAAATAAATTACGATGACTATTGGTAAGGAAGAATCATTTCCATACCACCTAACTGGATCGTTTTTACCATTTGATTATGTCAAGGTTTTGATCATAGTAATAACTAGATGAAACTTGCTTGTAATTAAGATATATGATCCAAGAAAACACCTAAGTTGCAAAAATAAAAAGATAACAAGAAAATAGTGCTCACGAATAATTTCATAAAACCAAAGTATTTAAGAAAACTCTACAAGACAGTCTCACTTTAATTAATACGATGAGATTATTAATAAAATAATACCTTGTAATTTTATCAAACCTCACTATAATTTAACTATAACCATCCTTTATTGTTTATCTATAACCATCTTATGGGTGGTATTGAAATCTAACAACATAGATCATTGTTTCATTGGACATATAGTATGAAAAACCTTAAACCAATCGAAAAGAAACATGTGACAATATTATATTACAAACATCAAACCACATAAGACAAAAACTGTTTTTTCTATTGAATCTTCTTAAACGTCAAACTTCTCTGATCACTACATAACAAATTTAGTCCATATTGAAATCTAACAACATAGGTCATTGTTTTATTGGATATATAGTATGAAAAACCTTAAACCAATCGAAAAGAAACATATGACAATATTATATTACAAACATCAAACCACATAAGACAAAAACTATTTTCCTATTGAATCTTCTTAAACATCAAACTTCTCTGATCACTACATAACAAATTTAGTCCAACAAGCATTTGCTCTCTAGCAATATTTTATGAAATAAACTATTAGATTTCATGAATATCACGGAACTCAGAAAATATCTTTGACATTTCATGATAACTTTCTTTACTCGGGGAATTCAAAGATTACATAACTTTCTTTTATAATTAAATATAAAGTGAGAAAGATGGGAGTTTGGTAACGAAAGAAAAGCGTCATCGCACTCTATATATAAATCACCATAGGCGTTAATTTTAATGTCAATCTTGTAAAGACATGTACTATATATAGAGAAATAATGTTGTAGCTTTTTTGCTTTGATATCTAACCACGCATAGTTGTGCTTTGGTTTCTGTAACATCCCGCTCACTGTCAACATAAATAATTAAGCTCACCTCATGTCTTCTTAGTTCAAACCCAATACTTCATCCTTAAAATTCTTTCCAAGAATGAAGTCATGCATTGGAATCAAAAGAGATGCGCTCTTAACCCACTATTTGAGGCGGATAAAAGATAAATAGTAATGCAAAGATGCGCACTGAATAACGTGATGCAATCCTGACCATTGATTCATTATAAGTTAATATTAATCAATGGTCATGATTTTATCACGTCATTCGGTACATAGATTCTGTGTGTAATTTTCGGTAACTCTATCATTTTCCAAAGATAAATAACCCAATTATTTGAGACCGGTAAGAGACAACTCCACAAAATTTTGGTGAAATTTTGGTGGTAGGTTAGGGTGTTACAGTTTCAATATTGAAATAAATGTGATTTTTGTATAATTGTGGGCAAAGTTTTTTAGCCCCATCAAATTTGATCAGTATCCTATTGCTAATTACATATTTATTATATTAAAAAAAAATATCTTTGACCCCATATAATACTGAAAGTAGCCTTGCTTAATTAGGATTTTTGTTTTTCACTCATTTTCCTCAATTTCAAACTTAATTAGGGTATTATTTACAGTAATTTTCACCAATATCTTAATTAGGCTTTTTGTTTAAACCCCTTTTTCATGGGTTATTATATCATGGCCAAAAGGAGATTACTTTATTCAACGTCAAATTCCAGATTTGGAACTTTGAATTTGCAGTAGCAATTTCATGGATTCATTGGAATTGAATCATGAAATTGTCAACTCAATTCTTGAAATCCACCATTATCTGACGAGCAATTGGTCTTAATTCTTCAAGCCATTTTGAATTTTTAACTCTTCAATTGATATTCAATTTTTCATAGTCTCAACTAGGCCGTGGTAAAAGGGGTTGTTACGTTCAAATTCTAACTTGTGTAAGAACATGAAGAAAGTTCATAAATATTTTAATCTTTATTCTGTTAATTTAGGCTCAACTATTCACATTGCAAGAAGAAAAAATTAGAGGGGTTTGAATCGGCTGGATTGACCTCTTTTCTGCAGCATCCTCATTTTTTTAAGATCCGAACTTGGACCTTTCACTAACAAGAGTTAATTCCTATGTGCAAGAGTAGAGAAAAGAAAAAAAAAAAAAAAGCACAATCTCTCAAACTCTTATCAACATGCAAAAAGCTGAGAGTTCAAACCATATAATATATGACACAAAAATAGCTTACACTGATACTTGGCTAAGCTCCTATTGTTATATAACTGCATTTACAGGTTTCAATACTCAAAGATATGATTTCAATCTTCAATCATTATCGAGGGTCAAGTTCAGTAATTGAAGCCTCATTCAACGAAAATAGAGCATCATTTTCACTGTAATCCAACATAGAAGTTTCTGAATAATCCAGCTCCGAGTTAGATTGCATAAAAAATGCAGGTTTTGAGGGTATTGGGAGAGACTGAGAGTGGCTAGTCAGCATAAGAACAACCGAAGACATTGTAGGTCTATTGGCTACTTTTTCTTGTACACAAGGCAACCCAATGTGGATGCATCTTATCATTTAACCGCTAGAACAACCCCTCAGACTGGAGTCTATCATATTTAAAGCTGTCCCTCTAGTCCAGTTTCTCCATGCCTGCAAAGATTTAACAATGATTTTATGGCCATTGACACTGAGTTTCACCCATTAGGAGAATGAACTTATATTTAATGACTTAATAATTTTTTAATTACATAGGTTAGTAAATCTTGTGGTTCCTCTTCGTTCGGAAAACAACTATTTTGTTGACCACTAATGATTTCCAAGACTAGCACACCGAAGCTGAAAACGTCAGACTTGGTTGAGAAGTGTCCATATTTTGTATACTCTGGAGCCATATACCCGCTAAAAAAAGCCATTGATGGGTTAGATTTGATTTAGCAAGGTTTACCTTATAATTCTTATACATACTTACAAGGTGCCAACAATTCTACTTGTATTGGCTTGAGTTTGATCCATTTCGAACAATCTTGTCATTCCAAAATCTGCAATTTTAGGAATCATATTGGCATCTAGAAGAATATTGCTAGTTTTGAGGTCACGGTGAATGGCCCGTAACCTTGAATCTTCATGAAGATAAAGCAATCCTCGTGCTATACCCCCAATGATTTTGTATCGTGTTTCCCAATCCAACGATGAGCGTTTTGTGGGATCTACAAGTTAACAAAAGCCATAGGAAAGTATAGACAGTTTCTAGTCAAGAATAAGCTACAAGATTGTTAGAAACCAAAGCAAAAAAGTAGTGCAACCTTACCAAATATGAAGTTGTCTAGACTTGAATTGGGCACTAACTCATAGATTAGAAGCCTTTCATTTCCTTTCATACAGAAACCTAGAAGTCTAACAAGATTCCTATGAAGAAGCTTTGCCACTAAAAGGACCTCATTTTTGAATTCTAATTCTCCTTGCCCAGAATTTCTTGACAATCTCTTAACAGCTATATCCTGTCCATCAAGAAGCCTACCCTGAAATTGAATTTGAGAAAAATGATTGCAACAACATTCAAGTTATTCAGAACTTACAATTTAACTGATTTTAGCTAACAATTGATATTCACTTTGGTTATGAATACTTGATATTAATACCTTATAGACAACACCGAATCCCCCTTGTCCCAGCTTACTATCAATCGAAAAGTCATTTGTTGCAGCTCTGATAGTGCTGAAGTCAAATTGCAAGGGATCCACATTATCAATTTCACAAGAACCTAAAAAGATCAGAGTAAGAGATTAGAACTCAAAAAGAAAATTAGTTTCAGCTCATATAGCAAAGTAAATTGTGACTACAGAAAGAGTATAATTAACCTTCTGCCTCCTGCTCACTTCCTATCTCCTGCTTTGTGTTCCTCCTTTGTAAAAGGACACAAGTGAAGGCAACAAGTGCTAAAATAACAACTACTACCGAAGGAACAATGATTTTGACAATCCTAGATGTAAAGCCTGTTTTCTCTGCATGCACAAAGCAGAAAATGTGTACATAGTCAACACATGATGACATTAATTGGAATATTTTGGGGTAAATTTTGATCTTATATGAACTTTTACTCGAACATAGCAACAACAAAAAGGTGAATCATTACAATCCACCCCCCTGAGATCCGAGGGTTGCCTGTCGCCATCTATTGAAGTTTGAATCCTTTTGGTAGAAGAAGAGGACGCTATGAAGAAGAAGCGCAAAGAAGGCATGGCCAAAGAATTTCAATTTTAGATAAAACTTAATTGCAATTATTTTTAAATTATAAATTTAAATTTCTCTCAACTGTTACTAATCGGTTAAGTGTAGTTATTTAGTTTTATCCTTTAAAACTATAAAAAAAGGGAATGTATTATGTATC